CCACTGACCTCATCGGGAATCGGACCCGTGACCTTCCATATAACGAGATAATTTTACTTAATTCGGAAGACCAAAATTAGGAACTCCTATTTAGAACAAGGAGTTCTGGGGAAAACTAATCGCCTGCTTTCCTTGATACAACACGGACAGCATAAAAAACGTCGTGTAAAATAATTCTCTTGTTGTGTATTAGTTTCAGCGGTAACGATTTTACCGAACCGTTGCCTAGCAACGGCAAGGGGATGTGAATATAGACAAACTGATCGGAGGATACATTCATAAGACACAAACCCGTCTTCTCGTCAGAGAGGATGTTACGTAGGGACTATTACCGCAAGGTTTCAGTTGGGAAAAGAAATCTCCGGTCGCGGGTCTCAAGGGGCCTGGCGCCAAGACGAACTGATTGGAGGTAAACCGCCGGTCGTAAAGTAACTTTGACTTTGATGGGAGGAATTTATGAAGTACGCTGTTGAGATGTGTTCAAGTGTCATGATGTACATACCAAGTGTCATAAAGTTGGTTCAGCCATTCAGGAGTTGACAGGGGAAGTGACATGGAGACCGCATAAGCATACTTTCATTTGTTTTTCAGAATAAGGAAAATATGGCAAAAATCAGAGTAACAATATAAAAATGGGATTTCTCTTTCTCTCTTTTTGTTGCTAGTATTACAATACGAATAAGGACAGGAGTATAGGAGCGAATCAGAAGTTGGCAGGTTGGACACTGGCTTCAGGCCGTGGTTCCTCGGGTGCTATCTGGACAAGTTCGTGTGAGATACGTACTTACATAAAATCAGAAGAAGAACGAGCGTGAGTACACGTATAAATGTGGTGCCCCTGTTTCTGCCCTGCGGTGGGGGTCGGATTTTTGTCTGTATCACTATTGTGTGCAGAGCGGCTTTGCTGCCAACCAAGCCTCCTAACGATGCCGATGGCTGTTCCCTCGAGGTTAAAGCGGCCGGATCGAAAAGCTGACCAGTCACCTAGCGTCAAGGGTATGAACATGGTCAAAGCTGTTTTCACCCCACCCCCCCATACGCCACCTTGGCAGTGGTTACCGCATACTGGATGGGGTCTAAGGTAGGAGTAGAAATTCACGTTTTCTCTTCTCCAGGATAATTTCGTGCGCGGTCACTTATTCCTAGTATTTTTCATGTTTTGACATGATGCACGTGCAAATGTTTCTTTACAAGTACGTGACAGGTACTAATAATGTCACAACCGTCGCTCATAATCCCGTTAAGTAGTAGCAACATTAGGGGTCATTATCATTCCAAGTATCAGGGTAGCCAATAACTACATAAATATAGCGGTTGATATATTATTCATTTAATGGGTATCATTCTATAGTTACGTTAAGTATTGCTCCACATATAACGACTGCCATAATTTCGTGCGTTTAAGTACATATACGAGTATATCTGTACAAAAGATACAATGAATGTCGTGTCATACGCTCATTTCATGGTAATATTTTGTTCGTTACTATTGGTGACACTGACGTAAGTGGCGATGGCGATGATGGAGGCAGACGGATAGAATGGAAGAAAGGAAGTGTTGTGTGTACATGTGAATATTATTGGAAGTACGTGGGTAGGTATGCATACTGGAGTAGTATTCAACTGGTATACAAAACGCATTAGTAATGTAACACATTATTTTGCACAAAGAGTGTAATGTTACCGGAGCATTTATCGTTCTTGCTAGGTGAATGATCGTGAATGATTATAGTAAGCGTCTAACATACATGTATCTGGGCTTAGTACCCTGTCTTCATTACGATGGGAGACAAACTTCTCTCGGGAGTAAATGAAACCAAAAAACGAATGTATTTTACAGAGTTAAATTACAGAAACAGTGCATTGGTAGGTCGTCATTTCGATCATGCATTAAGACAGGATGAGAATGACAAATTTAGTGGTGTTCACTTTTGGGCAGTAATGAATTAAAGTAGGATATTTGAATTTATAGCTGTGGTTAGTTTATGTTGTATGTGAAGATATTTGTCTCCTACATGAAACAGCTTTGAGTTCAAGGTCAAGTAATGTTACAACCAGAAGCTTAACAGGGTAGGTAGGCGTATGTGCTCAAGGTTAACTTGATACCGTGTGTCAGACATATGTAACACATTTTACAGCAGTATTTTCTATGTGCCAAGCAGTGGAGTGTGCCTAGATAGTTAAAGTATTTACTTTATGTAAGCTATTAATGTTTCTGACATTTTCTGTATAGAAAGTTTCCTTTTTGTGGAAGTTGGTAGGGAATTCTGTAGCTGATATTTGTATATGTACAGTTCTGTAGGACTGTATATTCTCCTTGTTCTAAAATTTCGCTGATTAGTAAAAATAATTGATTTGCTGGACCTAAGAGCGATGAAGTGATAGGACCCTGGAGAATAACTGCATAATGAGGAGCTTCATAATTTCTATTCATCACATATTATTAGGATGATAAAGTTGAGGATGGCTTGGGCAGGTATGTAGCACAGATGGGAAAAGAAATGTGCAAAGTTCTGGTACGAAAACCTGACGGAAAAACAGCATTAGGAACATGCAGATGTACGTGGGAGGACAATATTAACATGGATCCTAAACAATATGGAAGGGCATTAATGGATTTATCTGGCTCAGGATATGGACCAGTGACAAACTGCTGTGGACACTGTAGTGAACATTTAGATCTTATAGAATGCTGGGAATTTCTTGAGTAGCTGAACAGATATTAAGTATATGTTGCTGCCTCGTCACCAAAATGCAGGGCAAAATCATGACATAAAGATAGGAAAGAGATGTTTTGAAAATGTGGCACAGTTCAGATATTTGGGAACAACGATAACAGAAGGAAACCTGATTCAGGAGGGAATTAAGAGGAGATTGAACTCGGGTAATGCTTGCTATCATTCAGTCCAGAACCTTTTGTCTTCTTGTCTGTTGTCCAAAAACATAAAAATTATAATATACAAAACTATAATTTTGCCTGTGGTTTTGTATGGGTCTGAAACTTGGTCTCTGACATTATGGGAGGAACATAGACTGAGGGTGATTGAGAACGTGTTGAGAATATTTGGACCAAAGAGAGATGAAGTCACAGGAGGTTGGAGAAAACTACGTAATGAGGAGCTTCATAACTTGTACTCTTCTCCAAGTATAATTAGAATGATCAAGTCAAGGAGGATGAGGTGGGCAGGTCATGTAGCACGAATGGGGGAGACAAGGAATGCATATAGGATATTGGTGGGAAAGCCAGAAGGAAAGAGATCACAGGGAAGACCAAGGCGTAGGTGGGTTGACAATATTAGAATGGATCTTGGAGAGATAGGATGGGATGGTGTGGATTGGATAGATCTGGCTGAGGATAGGGACCAGTGGAGGGCTCTTGTGAACACGGTGATGAACCTTCGGGTTCAATAAAATGCTGGAAAATTCTTGAGTAGCTGCAGAATTGGTGGCTCCTCAAGAAGGGCTCAGCTCCATGAGTGAGTAAGTAAGCTGAACAAATATTGGCATGTCAAGAAGGGCTTGGCTCTATGGAGTTACTGAAATCATTATTAACATATAGATCACAGTGTTAATCTGCTCCCACTTGTTTAGGCTTTCCTGCATTGCCACACCATACTGTAGATCTTATCATTGAGCAGACTGCTGTAGCAGTAATACTTTCTGCTTGTGTTTGGGAGGTGCTTGCTTCAAATTTTGGTCCAGACACAGATTAATTCTGACAGTTTTTTTGTGGTGTTCTGCACTTCGTCCAGCAAGTTCTGAGGTATTACCTTGATCATTAAGCTACGACCACTTTCTTCCAAATCCTTTTCATTTCATTCATAAGTCATCCTACCATCTCATGCTGTGTAGTCTGGACACTGACAGCACCATAAAATAAACTGTACACACTGATACATATAATCTCAGCATATCAGATGCCACATTCTTGAGACAGGCCAGTGTGCTGCGCCTGCTTCTGCATATTTCTTGCTTGGCTTGCCCTTCTACCATGAAGGATCCAAGCATATTTCACCATCTGTCTCATAAATTTAATTTCAGAAATTCTGGCTGCTGTGGCATTAACATTCTAAATATGTATTCAGGAAGTGCTGAGTCTGAATCTCAGTTGGGACTTAAGCTATCTTGGCAGGGTTTTTTTTTATGGTTTTGCTCAAACTGTCCTGTAAATGCCAGGACATTACCTTCACTAGGTCATGGCTGCTTCCTTCTGAATCCCTTCAGTCATATCATTCACTTACCATTTGGCACTATACAGTCAGGATACTGACATTGCTGTAAAATTTCCAACAAAAAGAAATAAATTCACAAGCAGCAGAGGGTGGAATTCCTTTCAAAACAGATGTTTGGTCAAGTTATTGCAGTCTATGATGATAGTCACACAGTTTATGTGTTTTTGAATCTTGCTGTACTGTTGCCTAACAGCTGGTGCTGCATATTTTTAGAACGAAATGTCTTTCCATGTCAGAAGCTGTTGTTGCCAAAAGGTCTGGCACACATTTCAGCTGATCACAGCTGATGTTTGTTTTGAAGTGTAAGTCAGTCTGACAAAGTGACCTACCTGTACAGAGGTCTAAAGTGACTTGTTTGACACTGCAAGTTTTTGTGTTTAATGTTATCAAAACCAACTTGAGTGACAACGATTTTGTTACAAAATACTTGCTTGTGATAAAAGTTAAGTTTAACACTCGATAGTTCAGTATTGTAACCCAATTTTGGTTCTAACCAAGACCACTTGTAAGTATTGCAAAAGTTGTCTGATGATCTCTGATTCTTTAGGAATCAGGTGCTATTAAAATTACCTGTCTGTAAACGAACCAGGGCACAATATACCTTGTGTAGGTAACCTTATGGAATGAAAATCCTTTGTGAATATGTTTCAATTTCCCAGCCATGTATGAAATCTGGAAGAATGCTGAAGTAGAATCTAGTCATTTTCTAATGATGTGATAGGGCTCTGTCACTGATAATGGCGTGCTCTTGTTCCCATAGCAGATGGGGTATTGCAAGACATTGTAGGACGTTGCATCAGGCAGTCTGTATGAATCCACTTACATTTGCATATCACACTATGACAAGTGGGAAAATGGATGATAAGGGACTGCATATCATGGTTGAGTGGGTGGTACTCCTGCTTTGTATGTGAGAGGTCCAAGGTTGTAATCACAGCCTGGTGAGCAGTTGGTCTGATTGAGAATTTTCGTGGGTTTCTCCAGTTCCTCCAGGCAGCTGCTGGTATATATAGGCTGACCACTGCTTTTGCTATCCATTCTGATCGATTCCTGGATCATACCACAGTTTTATACTATATAAGAGAGGTGGCAAAACTGACTGAATGTTGAAACTTCCTCTGTATGACAGTTTTCTGAAGTTTGAGAGTTGCAAACAAACATAGATTGGATGGCATAGGTGTTCAGGTATGGCCTTTCTATCTGGGGGACTTCTATTTCTGTATTTAATTTGTAAAAAAAACTATTGACAAATATCTTCCTTTCTGCCAGCAGTACTAATGGTTCAGTAGGGCTGCATGTGGCTCTTGGGCCACAGTTTGGCCACACCTACTATATAGTCTGAACTGTTGGTCTGTCAGTGTGAAGAATCTTACACTTGCAGTGCGTTTCATCATCCTGCCTTCAATTTTTTTTTGTCCCATCCGTGACATGTTTAACATCTCTTGCATACAGTTTCATAACAGGTACTTATTTTTGCATCAGCTTCCTCTTCAGTGGGGCACAGTGGGGCTTTCCTTTTCACGCTTGAAGCTCCTGTGTAGGTTTATGGTTCCATGGATATCATATTCTTTGCTGGAAGAAAGTTGTTGCACAACTAAGTGGGTCACTGAAGCAGATCTTAAGTCAGTCTGCAAGTGAACTGTGAGCTGATTGCATGCCTAGGAATGGATTCTGGTCAGTTTCTTAACTTTCACTATGTTATAGCAGTTGTAATGGCTTTTGTTTATGTGAGCACTGGAAGGAGTTTATGTCATCTCACAGCTGTGTTTGTGGCACTATTTCTGTTTATTTTTGGAAGTGAACAGGTTTGACAAGTGTTGAGTAAAAGGAATATTGCTTAAGGCAGTGATATGTGATTTCTTATGATGGGATGCAACTAAACAGAAAAAAAGAAACAATTCAATTTTCATTAATGTTATGGAAGAATCAGATTTTTCTTCAACAGGTTCATGTACATTTCAAGTATGACATGTTATTTTAAATAAAGAGGAAAGGCCATATTGAAGTGACAGAAGAGGAGTTCTTTGTTTTCAGTTCTTTAAATTATGTAAAAATTTAAGTCATCTGTTGGCCTCAGACTATTCGACTGTGAACGTACTAGCAAAAACCTAAAGACATTGTGAAATTTACTCCATGCTTATACCAGTATGTACACTGGCCACAGTTGTTAAAAGCAATGTGCAAGTATTTTGGTAAGAGTTTTTAATATGATTTGAATCCCCATTCACAATGTTTTTTTTTTAAATTACATGAGAGTAAATTTTAATTTCCTAGTTTATGTTAGTTTCCTCTTCAAAGTTTTGGCTACTGTGTATTGTGATAATGACAAGGGAGGTGACCATATCCCAGCAAAAAGTGAGCACTGCTCTGAGCTCGTTCTGCTTTACAGAACGTATATACATATAAGCTGCCTGTTTCCTTAATTAATTTTGTACTGTCTTGTAAAGTTGTGAATCTGTGAGAAGAACGTTCTCTTAACTAACTTGTAACAATCTTGATAGCTTTTCCTTGCTTGTGTCTACTAATACATGCATTAGAACATGGACAGTTTTAATTATGTGTATAAGGGTCTTTCTCTTGTGGGTTTGTTGTATGCTGCTGTCAGTATAGATTACATAATGTTAAATGGTAGACTCATTAAAGGGCCTGAGGATAACCATAAAAAGCCTCCGGAAGTACCCTGGCCTTGATTCTAAATGAACACCTTCTGAACATTGGTCTTGAACATTACAAGGCTTAATTACAGGAAATGTATTTTGTTTTACAGGATCAGATGGACTTTCTTGGACTGTTTGACCCCTCTACAGCAGATGAATCTTGTGATGTACACAACGACTTCACAGATCAGCTGCCCCCAGAACCACAGGCTGGCAATGTCGAGTATAAGCTCAAACTGGTCAACCCATCGAAGCAGCGATTCGAACATCTTGTTACGCAGGTAAGTGTCTACTGCCCAGCTGAGGACAGCTTGTGAGATTGCCAACAGAAGCAGATTGGTTTAATTCAGACTGACATGGCTGATGGCATAGACATTCAGGGGAAACTCATTATTTCCTAAGACAAGTGTAATTGGATTATGTTAGTAGGACATTTACATTTGTTACAAATTTGTTGTATAAGTTGTCTATATGGCTTTTGCTTAAATCTAGGAGTAACTGCACCTGGGAGCAATAAACGTTTGTTTGTTTTCTCTGTACATGTTTGTTACCTGCTGTGGTGACCTGTGCAGATGAAATGGCGGCTCCGTGAAGGACAGGGGGAAGCAATTTATGAGATTGGTGTAGAGGACAATGGTGTACTCACGGGACTAACAGAGTGTGAGATGACTGCAAGCTTGCAGACACTCCAGCAGATGGCCTACAAGCTGGGTGCCACAACCACCGTCCTCAGAGAGAGACTTGTTGACAGTGATAATGGCAATAGCAGAAAGGTGGCAGAAGTTTTGGTTAGGAAGGTGAGTGGAATGATAAATTGTTTGTAGAAACTGAATTGTCATTTTTCGTTGTATGCTGCACATAAATGTTTTCCAAAACTTCATAATTAAAACTCTGATGCATGCAAGAAAATCATGAGACACTTGAGTTAGGGAGTCTGATCACTGTGCATATATTTAAAATCAAAACCTAAACATATGACATGAGCGCTACTTACTCAGTCTTGGGGTTCGGCACTTTTCCATTGTGCCATTTTATTCTAAGTTTTGCAGTGAAGAAAGGGGATATGTGAATTGACGTGCATCATTTCGTAGAATTGTGTGTTGAAATGTGTGTAGTGTTCAGAAAATGTTGAAATAATGGGAATGTGAACATTCGCAAAAAGAAAATGTTATCACAGATACACATAAAACCATACCAAAAGAGAAAATGCCATGTCACAGCTTGTTGAACATATAAGGTAAATGTATGTAGACAGAAAATACTGGATGTGTCTGACATTGCTCTCAATACATGCATCATTTATCTTGGCCATATTTCAAGAGACCTGAATAAGGGACTTTTCACCACATCTTCTGTTAAGGTGTGGTTTTAAGTGGAAATCCATATACCATGTTTATTCTGACAAACTAAATTAACAGAAGAATGGATTTTTATGGAAGTAACTTTTTTAGCATGACCTTCATTTGAAGTCTGGTCTATTCTAATTTGTTGTATACCGTTTCAAACCTGGTGTTTTCAATAAGTCAGCTATAAGTTGCTGATATAGGTCCCAGATGATCAGCATAACATCGAGGTTCGTGTGGCCGTGATGGGAAGTGCAGATGCAGGGAAGTCCACACTGCTTGGGGTATTGACACAGGGCCAATTAGACAACGGACGAGGCCGAGCCCGTCTCAATATGTTTAGGCATCTCCATGAAGTGCAGTCAGGGAGGACATCATCAATCTCTCATGAGATCCTGGGATTTGACACACAGGTCAGTGTTACTGCAGATAGTTTGAGGGCAGAACCATTGTCTGGTTAAAGGAAACATTGTCATTAATGTTTATAATTTGGGAATACAGGATTATAAATCTCCCAGTGCTGTGCTTTTGGCAGTTTGCAGGTGACAGATTCTCATCCAAGAATGAGGGGTTTTAAGTCTCCTAGCACTACATGGTCAGCAGTCTGATTACTGATTTTAACTTGGGGATGAAGGCCCATCAGAGGAATGTCATTTCAGGAGGAATTGTCTTGTTCTTGGAGAGAAATTTCTGTCTTTCTTTCAGGGTATGGATGAAAGCCTTCTATAGTGTGCCCAAGGAGAAACTGTCCTCCTAGTTCGTGTTGGGGTTTAGTTTGGTTACTTGGACTTATGGTCCAGTTCTTGTGTCTAAATTTCTTGGCCAGTATCTGCCTACAAGGCAGTCCAGAGAATCACAGTCTGAACACTTGTAAGAATCTGAGATCTTGTAATTGTGTATCTGTTTGAAAGAAGCACGTAACCCTCCTGTTGAATGACGATGGTTTCAAGTTTGTTTTCAGTAAGCGTTTCCCAGTCCACAAAGTTTCCTTCACCAACGAATGTCACCTGGTGACCAGTGTGGAAGATTGTAAATAATAAACTTTCATTTGTCCTGTAGGGCCATGTGTTGAATTACAGCGAATTCATGACAGCAGAAGAGATCTGTGAAAATTCTACAAAACTGATCACTTTCATCGACCTGGCAGGCCATCGCAAATACCTCAGGACAACAGTTCTGGGGCTCACTGGTTACTCGCCCCATCACGTCATGCTAGTTGTCAGTGGGAGTGCTGGGATTGTTGGCATGACACACGAGCACCTAGCCTTGGCTATTGCCCTTGACGTACCGTTCTTCATCACTATCACCAAGACAGATGTAAAGTCACCTGCTGACACACTGCTGAGTCTTGAGGCAATGCTCAAGTCTGCAGGTTGTCGCAAGGTAATGCAGAGCACTAAGAATTTAAACCTTTTCACAGCTGTACACACACCTGCACATGCACCACATGTGCAGGCATGACTGATGTAGAGAAGTTTTCTTCTTCTTTAATTGTTTCACTTTATGTGAGTCATCTAGCAATGAGGCATCTCTCCACAAATGTGATTGTTATTTCAAACACAGTGTGTCAGAAACTGGATATGTGAGAGGAAAAATTCCAGCTTAGTTGGGCTCTTTAGAAAGATCTTGTCTTGATCATTGGAGCACATCCAGTTTCCAAAATTCAAGATGATGGAAAATGTCTGAAATAATAGTCATGTTAATTACTATGCACCATAGTCAGAAATGTTTACATTTAGTGTAAGTCTGCCTGTCTGCGTCTTGTCTTCCGAAACTTCTCCATAATGTTTGCAGTGTTCTTCCTTCCTTCCTTCTCCTCTTGGGTATCTCCATTTTAGTTTCATGTTCAAAACCCATCTGGGTGTTATGTGTTCAATTTATCTTCTTTTATATATAATCATTCCCTCTCCTTTTGGGTTTTCCTTACATCCTTCTTAGCGGCCTCCGTAGTCTAGGGGTAACGTTCCCACCTCATGACTCAAGGTATGCAGGTTGAAACCCGGTGGAGGTCATGGAATTTTTAAGGGCAGAAAAATTCAGGGAACAAGTCCTCCGGGAGGGACTTTCAGCCGTGGGTCCCGTGTTGTAGATTTACGGCACGTACAAGATCCTCATGTCTCTAGGAGACCTCAGAGCAAAATTAGGCAACAAGTTTCCCGCCCAAGTAGTTTCCAATGCCTCTGGTATCAGGTACCGAGGGCCGACCTCGTTGGCTGAACGGGGCTCATAGCATGCACCAGTACCTGGCGACAGTAGAAATTAAAGGGGGACGCACAGTGGACCAATAACTGGTCTAAGTGCATGGGGAAACCCACCCCCTCTAATAATAATAATAATAATAATAATAATAATACATCCTTCTTAAAGACCTCATAACGACTGACTACAACCTTCTGAAATACTGATTCTGGACAGGATATGGGCATAATTCTTGCGGGCTTCTGCTAAGGCCATTTATTTTGAAGCAATTTTATTTTCTTAAAGAATAGTATTCAAGAATAGCCTGTGTTTTGTCTGTTTGTACCCACATGGCATTGTTGTTAGGTACATAGGTACATACATATGTACATGCCACTGTTTTGGAGGAGCCTGTTGCCTCCTAATTTAGGGTACAAGAGTAGTTACTCTCTTGCCTTGGCACTTGTGTCTGTCTTCCATATCGTGTGGCGTTTGAATCTAGGAGACTAATTCGCTGTTGTGTTAACCTGAGATCTCATGTTTATTTCAATCATTCAAGGTTCCGCTTGTGGTGAGGAACGAGGATGATGTGATCACAGCAGGTTCAAATCAGCTGGCAGGAAACATAGTACCAATATTCTGCGTGTCGAACGTGACTGGAGATGGTCTGGAGCTGCTGACCAAATTCCTACATGTCCTGCCACCTGGGATTAGTATCAAGGAGAAGGAGCGCTTAGAACAGGTATTTATGGTGATGGTTAGCATGTATCCTGACATATGACCATCAGCAATCCATATGGGCCTACTTTATTCCATCATATAATTAGAAATTATCACAGTTGAGTGGATGGAATTCATGCTTTATCTGGGTCCAAGTCCTTGCCTGAAGATAAGATGGCACTGGACTAACAGATTAGGTTGAGCTGTAGGATATGTGGCTTGAATTCATGAAGTATAACTGGTGCATTTTTAAGTCTTTTGCACAGTGAACAGTAACTTCAGGTAGCTGTCACAGCAACATAATATTTTCTCGGAAGAGTAATCATTTTTGCTTGTGATGTTACAACAGCCCAACTCCACTTCTCTTTGCTGCTGATTGCAATGCTATTTCTCAGCAGTTATACTTGGTTCAGATTTCTTCTGGGGAACAGGCTTTTGTGCTTGATGTTTTCTATGGTTTTTATTAGCCCATGAGACTAAATGCCTAGTGGCATGTCCCCCTCCCCTCCTTTTTATTTCAAATCATATTGTGGTTCATCTCATTCAGTGCTGTGAGACCTCTTCAGATGTGCAGCATATTTAAGTACTATTATATTTCAGCATCCTGTTGCATTGAAGTATCACTTGGTCTTCTACCTTCTGTGTAGCGCATAAACGTGGAACGTATATATATTTTAATGCCATTTTTAAACACTTTTAATGAACATTTCAATGAATTAAATGTGGATTGGTGTAATATAAATGTACATTGATACTGTTGCATATAGAAGACTATTTAAGTAAGCTTTTAACAAATAATTGATTACACTGAATTGAGCAATCAAATATTGCTTATCACATACATTTCTTAGTGTTTTGTGTTGTACTTATGAGGTGGTATCAGAAAGTTCCTGGACTGTTATTGCTGTAACTGCCTCAGTGAAAGAATATGAGAGGGGAGACCAAGGTCACAATTCCGCAAGCCTATTGCATCAGCCTGCCACGTGCCACCATGCTATGAACACGTATTGTTTTTACATGAGCGCTTTGTCAACTTCATGTTATGTTTTTTCTGCAATGGATGGGAAAATCGAGCAATGTGCCTGCATCAGGTTCTGTATGAAGCTTGGTAAATCTGCTATTGAAACTCTTGAAATGCTTCATGAGGCTTTTGGCGAATATTCTTTAAGCTGGACAGTGGTTTTTGAAAGACATTCAATTTTCAAGGCTGGTTGACTGTCAGTTGAAGATGACAAACGTTCAGAGCGACGAAGCACCGGCAAAGTGACAGAAGATATTGAAAAATTCGAGAACTCATCCATGAAGACTGTCGCTGAACAATCCATGAGCTTGCAGACACCTTTGGGATCAGTTATGGAATTTGCCATGAGATGTTAATAGAAAATTTGAATATGCGCTGCATTGCTCCTTCATCATGACAATGCACCTTCCCACACTTCCCTGAAAGCCACAGAGTTTGTGACTAACAGCAACATGGATATCATTCCTGATCCTCCCTATTCACTGGGCTTAGGCCCCTGTGATTTCGTTTTGTTTCCCAAAATGAAAATGAAACTGAAGGGGTAACGTGAAATGGTCTGACATCCAAAGGGAATCGCAAGTAGTACTGGACAGCATTAAGGAAAATGACCTCCACAGTGCTTTTGAAGCATGGAAAAAGTGATGGGATCGCTGTATATGTTCCCAAAGAGACTGTTTTGAACGAGATGGCAGCCAAAATTGAATAAGTTAAGTTTTGACCTAGTCTGGGAACTTTTCGATAGCACTTCATATCATACTCATCCTTCCAAGGACTGGACCTGTTACAGATGTTACATAATAGAACCCTTCCATTGTGTTAGAGATCTTCTGTCTGTCATTTTTTTCTGTTTTATCATTATTTTAGAATCTTGTCTGGAGTCCTGTCAGAGCTCACCCTTCAGGGTGTGAAACAAAATGATCATACGTTAACAGTTTTGGTTTTATTAAATTGATTATAAGGTTTTGCCAACAGAATGACAGCTCTGCACTTGAGTAGTAGCAGGTTATGCCTCCACTCGTGAACAAAAATGACATTAATGCACTTTTCTGTTTCTCTGCATTGTGTTGCACTCTCAACATATTTCCATAGGTTATCTACCGTACTTGCAAATGTGAGATATCAGAATGTGTTTGAAGTGCAGTCTGACATCAAACCCAGTTTGGCAAAAATTGGTGTTAATAAAGTACACCCCAGCACTTAGGTGACAAATTCTGAATTACTGTAGAGCTTGAAGCTAAAATGTTTCTGTTTTAGAAGAAAATGTGAAACGATCTTAGAATCATCAGCGCACCAGTGAATTCATTATTTGCAAATAGTAGTCCCTTTAGTTGGGAGCTACATATTGTGAATTTTAATATCCTCAAACTTGGTATTTCATTCCACTGTCCTTTAATTTATAATGTGACTGTTTCATGTCTTGTTCACAGGAATTATGTGAATTTCAAATAGATGAGACCTTCAGGGTGCCAGAAGTGGGAACAGTTGTTGGAGGCTTGCTGACAAAGGGAGTGATTTCAGAAGGAGCCAAACTAGTTATAGGTAATTCCTTAAGAAAAACAGGGTGTTTCAAAGCTGCATTGTGCACAGTCATGGTTTATGAGTTGCATTACAGCTAGACCAGCCGGTGTTCACTTGCTGCACAGGCTGTTGTATTCATATCCAGTGAAATTGCAGTGAACTTTCAGGTTTCTAAAATGCATGGAAATTTGCTTCTTAACAAGGACTCTGCTTCTATTTTAGGTACTTTTTGCGCTTATGTTTTTATGGCATGCGTCTAACCTGTACTTTTGGCTTTCAAGGTTTAATGACACTGAATATTGAAGTTGAAATGGGTTGAAGATGTGACTGCAATGTATACCTGAGCTTCAACATGCAACAACATGGCTAAACCCCAAATGTCACATTTTGATGAGGTTATACTTTTCGTTCTGGTGATTTCCATAGGTCCATTAAATGATGGGAGGTTTCTACCTGTGATCGTGCAGTCGATACATCGAAATAAGGCTCCATGTCGAGTAGTGCGAGCCAGTCAGAGCGCTTCCCTAGGCCTGAACCAGGAGATACTTGGCTTGAGAAATGGCATGGTAGTGCTCAGTCCGGAGTCAAAACCTGCTGGGTGTCTTTTCTTTCAGGTAAATACAGACCTTTCCTCTCCCAATGTATTTTGTTATTAAGAGAGTCCATTTGCTCAAGTACAATGTCATGAAGGTGTAAGGGGGGGGGGGCTGGAGGAAAGTATGTGTTCCTAACATCGGCACATGATGGACATGAATGGTCAGCTGTACATTCTGTGCATTTCATGTGGTGTAGGGCCGTGTGCCCACTTGATAAATTTTTTACTTTTATTTTTGTTATCTGAATTATAGATGGGTTTCATTCATGGGCAGAGCATGTAATTGCCTGCACAGTGGTACAGATTTATGCATTCGGTGAAACCTCACTGCATCTTTCTTGTAGGAGCAGTGAATTTGAAAACTAAAACAGGATAATCTTAAATGGGGGAAATTTTAACAAAACTCAGATAATAAAGCATCGAATATTAGGATGATTAATGAATAATGAAATGGAAAGGATGTGGAAGGAAGCAGTGATGACCTAAATTTAGGTACTGTCCCATTGTTTGCCTGGAGGAACCAAGAGAAAGCCACAGTAAATTGGAGTCAGGATAGCTATCTCTTGGATGGGATTTGCTTCCCAAATACAAGATGGGTCCTACCCAGTCAGACATTGTTGGGTGCTGAAGTGCTCAGATAATAATCACCCCTTCTCTTACAGGCAGCAGTATATGTGCTGTTTCATACAACTGCAATCTATCCAGGCTTTCAAACAACTGTCCACATTGGCAACATACGTCAGACAGCAGTTATTGAAGGCATCATGGCCATAGGAGGAATTCACACTAATGACAAAGCATCCGTGCTGTTCCGCTTTCTTAGACATGCAGAATATGTTAAGGTTGGAATGAGGCTGCTGTTTCGGGAGGGCCGCACTAAAGGAATCGGCAAAGTCACACAAGTATTCCCTGTTGAGCAGGATTAAATTTCTAAATGCTGCAGAAGAGTTCATTTGATCCATGACTTTTGAATTATTAATTTCAACAATTCTACCTGTAAAAACACACATTTTATGCTGTGTTTTATTTATACCTAGTCACCTGATTAAGAGAATCATCACTAGATACTGGAGATTGCTATTTTAACTGTGAATACTTCTTGTATAAATTAACAACTAACTGATTTGGTTAGTTAATTTTAACTAAAGTGTATGATGATTTAAGAAATCTAACACACAATGACAGTATTTTATACACCACAGGCTGTGTTTATGATCTGTGAAGTGGTTTTTAAGAGTACCCGGTTGTACAAATCTACTTTAATTCTACTTGTATAATAGTAAATTATTGTGTGTACATAATAACTACATACATATGTTTTTAACGTTCCAGCATAGTGCTGTAGGTGGTTTGCAAGTGATTCTGCTGTGACGTGTTAAAAAGGCAGAGCATTAGTTAGATTGCAAGGGGGGCAAGCAGGCTGTGGTTGCCTTTTTTGTGGTGGATCTGTGTCGTGATATTAGTCAGTTTGGGTTCAGCCACTGTTCTGATCAGACAACACCATACTCTGGAACTGATCATAGGCACAGTTTCACGTTATCAGTTTGCCATGCAGCCAGCAGCAGAATGTATGCATTAGGGATGCCCTTCCAGAAATATCACGTGTTATCAGTTGGATAACTGGAGAATATTTTTACTCGGTGGTAATATTATGTGGTATATTTTATGACAGCTAGTCAGTGTTTCTCAAACCTGAGTTTTGTGGGAGTGTGAAATAGGTTTATCTGTATTCTATGATGCCAGTCAGTTTGATCCATCAGTCTCTTAACATAAGTATCAGCCCAAAGTTTCTGACAGTGATGTATAATATCTTTTTGACTGATATTTTTTATACACTGTCCATCATCGCAGCTTTTACAAATCACAATGTTTTGGAAACCAGTTCTGTTTCGCTTGAGATCTCCTAGGCTTTCATGCCTGGATACCAGCATTTCAGTGGAACATAACTGCCTCTGTCTTCACTTTGACCCTGAAGATGAAGGTAGGATTTTCCTGTGAAATGTTGGTATGCATCTCCAACTACCATGAAAACATGTAAACTGTGCTTTTGTTTCCTTTAGACGATAGGATAGGGTAAAGAATCTTACTCCTGAAAACCATGGGGTTTGAGACTAGCTATGTCTTTTTAATTTATGTGTATATATATTGGGTGTATCACAACTCAACGGCAAAACTTCAGGAACGGACTCCTCATATAGAGAGAAGAAAAAAAATTTATGACAACATGGGTCTGGAAATGCATATAATTAGAGAGTAGTAATTGTGTCTGCACACCACTGAAAAGAACTGGCAGAGGAAAATTTATCATGAAGTAATCACAGGTGATGTCATGATAATCATATAGCTGTTCTCCCAGTGAAAGGCTGACCCACTGATAGAAAGCACTCATGTCACCAATTCTTCTCAGTGGCGTGCAGACACAATTACTACTCTGCAATTATATGCATTTCCAGACCCATGTTGCCATATACTTTTTTCCTTCTCTCTATATGATGAGTCCGTTCCTGAAGTTTTGCCGTTGAGTTGTGATACACCCTGTATACACACACACAGGCATGTGAATCCGGAATGAGACCTATAAGTGAAGAACTTGCTGTCCATCCTATTTCACTTGATGATTCTGCCATTTTATTTAATTTGACCACTAGCCCTTTCTTGCAGAAATAACTAACATTTTGGTAGTAAGAAGTTGGAAACATTAATTTTTAAGCCAACTATTTGTTATATGTTACGAATTTCAGCTGTCTGCAAGTCTCTCTGCAATATTATTATTCCTAATATTTACTTTAAATTATTTATATTAACACATTCAGGTCATCAGTCCTAAGTAACATTTGGAATTGTGTGGTACATAAGATTGTTAAGAGTTATATTTGAATGATTGTGCATATGAACTAAGGGATATGGATTTTACAGGATTGCAGCCATATTTTAACTTGGGAGAAGGGGGGGATTTAAGAAATGCACTTCTGGGCCAACTGGACCAAGCACAAGCATTGTCACAGTAATGTGACACAGCTGGTAAAGGTTAATTCAGATACATGATTGGTTTGTGAACTCCTGTCTGACTGAGTCCTGAATGTCAATGGTGACAACGCTACTGGTAGTCAAGAGTTGTTTGGAAGGGGGTTATCTTGTGCTTGCAGTACCAAGTCCGACAGCAGTTCATGTACTGTCTTAGTTATGTTATAATTGCTTTCCATGCATTAATTGATACATGTGTTTAACAAGTTTCAGAGAATTTATTGTAAACAATATGAAAATTAAAGATAGCCATTTTCTGGGAAGTGAGACCATGTAGTCTGGCAGATGGTGAGCAACATTTCAGGGGAACCTTCATGGCATCACATCCCAGAACATAGAAATCTCCCTAGTTTCTGCTGTGAGAACATCAAGTCCAGCTTCCTACAACTTGTCTTAATATCTGACCTCAGAGCTGTTAATCATTCGATTTGTGCCGGACAGCCCTGGCACTCTTACTGTCATGACTGCAGTCCTGATGACTGGAGATGGTGTCATTGAAACTGAGGGTCTGTGCCATAATTTGGTGTACAGAGATCATATTTTATTTCGTTTGTCATTTCAGTGGGATAGGGACCAGTTGAGGGCTCTTGTGAGCACAGTAATGAACCATAAAATTCTGGAAACTTCTTTTCAGTGAGGTCAGCGAGTTGTAACTATGTAATGTATATGTTGTATTGTGCAAGTTTACTCCCCACTCATACCCCCAAGGTTACCAATTACACTTAAAATTGAAATGTTTCTTGCTGAATGTTTACATCTTGTATTTTATTGGTTTTTAAAGTTACCAATTGATGATAAAATCTTTAAGCCTCTGTGAGGCCATATTATTGTACATTAATCAATAAGCAATAGATAAGTACTTAGAGAAGCAGTTTGTTTTTTCCCAGATTCCTTTTTTCCCTCCCCCCCCACCCTCATTGATTGAGATTTTTTAATCCCATCAGAGTTTATCTTGTCAATGTGTCCCCCCATTTATTTTTGGGGGGGGGGGGGGTTANTTCCAGTATGCCAGGATGATAATTAGAAAGGCTTGCAAGGAAATAGTTGTGGCAAGCCAAGATTTGAACTGAGTATCTCGTGAATACGTGTCTGCAGTGTTATTGCTATGTGAACCTATGTGTTTGCTATTTATTGAAGTTCTGAAGGGGTGGAGGGGACAATGGACTAGTACATTGGTTAAAACTTATTTTGGAATTAAAAAAACTGAGTTCAACCATTCCACAGAGCTACTTACAAACCACAGAATAAAGGGGTCTAGAACATAAGCTAGAGGAGACCGTTTTGACACAAGAATAAAATGTTCAAAATCGTAAAAAGAAAATTGTTAACACACTCTCAGTATGATAGGATGTGTCAGCAGCAAGTCCTTTGAAACATCGAGGTTCTACCAGACTAGATGAGAGAGCCTGAGTATGCCACATGAAACAGTAGTTTTCCTTTCAAAGCACACTGTATACTACCTGTTCCAACATTAAAAAAAAAACAGGCCCAGCAGTATAACACATGCAGTCACAGGAGCAAGACACAACACAAAGCACAATACACACATTAAAGTAGGAAGAATACTCCGATAGAAGAATATAGGTGTGACTTGCGTATTGAGATACGACATAAGGATGACAAATCCTCAACAGTTTCAATATTTTCAATATTTAAAATTTATCAATATATATGACAAATATATATTTTAGTTATTTTAGTATAAAGACAACAGGGCATGCAATGAAGTAGTTCGACGTACATCGAAAAGCACCTGAAGATGGCACTTTAGTGCTGAAACATGTAGTGCAAGAGAGAAGAGTAAGGTGAATAAATATATGCACTGTAAGACGGTCAGAATAAATCATGGACATATCAGTGCAACAGGACGCTAAAATATAACATTAACATTAAAAAAAAACGTTACATTCTGCCCACACAGTGTACTTATGTGTTCTGTATGATTCTCAAAATAAACAGCACTAACCAGTTTGGCTCTGTAGCGGAGATGTAATGTCTTGCCCGATATATATATATATATATATATACACACACTATATACACTCCATTCTGCCCACACAGTGTATTTATGTGTTCCGTATGATTTTCCCAATAAACAGCGATTATTTTAGTGTATATAT